TCCCAGCATCCCATATGGTCCCCCGAGCACCGTCCGAGCTTCGCGGACCAATGCTGCCCCCTGCCGGCGCCTCTGGAAATCCTGCCTTGGGCGCCTCTCGGGTGAAGTCCTACACTCGGCCTGCAGGGGGCAGCAGAGAGCCGGCATGCAGGGCTGATGGGGAGGGGCCGAGGGAACGGAGAGGGAGAGAGAGACAGAGACAGAGACAGAGACAGAGACAGAGACAGAGCGCGCGAGCGCGCATGAACCCTGCAGGCTGAGTGGCTGAGCGCAGGTTTTGCATGCAAGAGATGAGGGTTCCCAGGCTGGTCTGGGATGGTTCCCCTATACTGGGAGAGAGCTCAGAGCACAGACCCCGCCCCCCGCAGACCATCATATGTGACTCCCCAAGACCCACCAAAAATAGAACTATAGTTTTTGGGGGTTAGAGCCATAGTACAGCAGGGAGGGCATTTGCCAACTCAGTTTTTTTTTTTTTTACAGAAAACGGTTTATTTATTTACTTATTTATTTTCTTTTTTGGGTCACACCCGACGATGCACAGGGGTTACTCCTGGTTCATGCACTCAGGAATTGCTCCTGGCGGTGCTCGGGGGATAATATGGGATGCTGAGAATCGAACCCGGGTCGGCTGCGTGCAAGGCAAACACCCTCCCCACTGTGCTATTGCTCCAGCCCCACCAACTCAGGTTTGATTCCTGGCATCCCATAGAGTATAGTCGCCTGAGCACCACCAGGAGTAACCCCTGAACATCACTGGGTGTGACCCAAAAAAGGCAAAGCCAGGGCTGGAGTGACAGCACAGCGGGTAGGGCGTTTGTCTTGCACGCGGCCGACCTGGGTTCAATTCCCAGCATCCCATATGGTTCCCTGAGCACTGCCAGGAGTCATTACGGAATGCAGAGCCAGGAGGAACCCCTGTGCATCGCCAGGTGTGACCCAAAAAGCCAAAAAAAAAAAAAAAGGCAAAGCCAAAGAAACAAAAATTACAGTTCCTGCGGCAAGGCTGATTCAGAGCGAGTGGTGGCCAAATCATGCATGCGCGCGCGCGCGCGTGCACACACACACACACACACACACACACACACACCAGTATTTCTTCAGGGAAGACACCGGTGCATGAGGTGGGTGCGGGCCAATGTACTCCTTGATGAAGTGGAGCCAGTCGGGGGCTGGAGACATCCCTGCAAGACCCTGGAGCTAAGGGACAGGATTCTGGTCCCCAGGGCAGCTCAAGTCACCCTCAGGACCACCAGAGGGTGAACAGCTCCACTCCTGCCTCCTCCTCCTCCCCTTTTTGCAGCTTCTATTTTACTTTTGGAGGATGGGAAGTGGGCAGGGGGAAAAGCCACACCTGGCAGTACTCAGAGATGATTCCTGGCTCTGTGCTCGGGCATTCCCTCCTGGCGGGCTCAGGGGACTACACAGAGGCTTGAACCAGGGCTGGCCACTAGCAAGGCGACCACACTGTCCTATGACTCCAGTTCCTTGTCCCCTTCCTACAAGGTCCCTTGGAATGCCCTGTTTGTTCTCCACAAACACACACTTAGCACATCTAGCTCTGCACACATAACTGTATTAAGTTCGCAAATCTTGGGGTTCAGCATCCCCACTGCCTTGGAAATCAAATCGAATGCTCTCAATCCCTCAAGTTTCTGGATTGGGCTATGGAATCAGGCGCTTTCGCGCATTCATTTCCTGGAGTTCGGTACCCTATTGCATGGCGCCTGTCTGCTCCGTGTGAAGCCCAGGGCTCTATCACGACATCCAAATACCAACATTGGGCCTGAGAGATAGCACAGCGGGGAGGGCGTTTGCCTTGCCTGTCACCAACCCGGGTTTGATCCCCAGCACTCCACATGGTCCCCCAAGGCTGCAAGGAGTGATCCCTGAGCACAGCGCCAGGAGTAAGCCCTGAGCACCGCTGAGTGTGGCCCCCCCAAAACCAGCCAAGCAAACCAAGACAAAAAAGAAACATTAACATATTTCTACAAAAGAAGAGAAAAGAAGGCTGGAGTGGTAGCGCAGCGGGTAGGGCGTTTGCCTTGCATGCAGCCAACCCGAGTTCAATTCCCTGCATCCCATAGGGTCCCACTAGCACCCTCAGGAGTGATTCCTGAGTGCAGAGCCAGGAGTAACCCCTGAGCGTTGCTGAGTGTGACCTAAAAAGCAAAAAAAAAAAAAAAACCCAAACAGAGAGAAAAGACCAGAAGAGAGTTAGTACAGTGGGTAGGGCTTGCATGTGACAAACCCCGAGGGTCTCCTGCATCCCCAGGAAGGAGTGATACCTGAGCACTGAGCCAGGAGTAACTCCTGAGCACAGCTAGCTATACCCAAAAGAAGAAAAATTTATTTCTTAAAGGTGATTTTATTTTATTTGTATTTCTGGGGCCGTGCACCTAATGAAACTCAGGGCTTATCTCTGGCTCTGTGCTCCGCGATCACTCCTGGCCGTGTTCAGACGACCATATATGGTGCCAGAAATTGAACTGGGCCGAGGCATATGAGGCCACACCCCTTAACCCCTGTACTATCTCTCTGGCCGCTAAAAACATAATTAACTTTTACTTACTGATATCTTCCTGGTTTTTGGGTCACATCCAGCAGTATTTAGGGGTCACACCTGATGATGCTTGGGGGGCCATATGAGGTGCCTGGGATTCCAACCAGGATCCGGGTGGCATTTAAGGCAAGAATTTAAACCGGAGGGCCGGAGAAATAGGACATTGTGAAGGCCACTCACCTTGCACTCAGTAGGTCTGGGCTGGAGCCTCGACACCCCATTAGGGTCCCCTGAGACTGGGAGTGACACCTGAGTATAGAGCCAGGAATAAGTACTGAGCACCATTAGATATGGCCTAAAACCCCCCAAAAAAACAAAATAAAAAAAGTTAGAGGCTGGAGCAATAGCACAGTGGGTAGGGCGTTTGCCTTGCACGTGGCCAACCTGGGTTCGATTCCCAGCATCCCATATGGTCCCCTGAGCACCTCCAGGAGTAATTCCTGAGTGCAGAGCCAGGAGTAACCCCTGTGCATCATCGGGTGTGACCCAAAAAGCAATTAACAACAAAAAAGTAAGTAAAGTAAACAACAAAAAGAAAGTTAAATATATTCAAGGAATAGAGAGATGGTAGAGTAGGTGGGGCACTTGCCTTGCAGGCAGCCAAATAGGGTCTTGTTCCAGGCACCCCGTAGGAGTGATAGCTGAACATAGAACTAGGACTAAACCCTGAGCACTATTGGGTGAGGCCCGCAAACATGAATATTTCTGAGAATGTATATGTATGCACACGTGTAGATACATGTAGAAAATTTTTTAATTTCTGCGTTTCTATTTTGCCTGTTAATTTTCTTGTACTGTTTTGTCTTCTTGGGCCACACTGGAGGTACTTATGATATCACTGGCCAGGAGGTCACTCCTGGCTGGGCTGGAGACGGGAAGTCAGGCCGGAAGTCAGGCTGGCAGGTGTACCAGGAGAGCACCCTTCTCTGCGTATGATCTCTCTGGCCTGTTCTTTTTTCAGTACCGGCGTTTTCCTGGAATCAGTTATCTCGCCTGCCAGCAGTTTGGGTGAGATCCTCTGCGTCTCTCTGTTCCTCTGGGGCCCGAAGAGCTGCTTAATGACCTGAGATCGGCCTCTTCGGATGACATTTTTGGGGCTTGCTTTTTTTTAAAGTTTATTTTTCCGTATTTGGACCACACCCGGCAGTGCTCAAGGCTGACTCCTTGAACTGTGTTCAGAGCCACTCCTGGCGGGGCTCGGGACCCTAGGGGGCCCCGGGGATCGAGCCGGGGTTGCTGGTGTGCAAGGCCAGCGCCCTCCAGGCTGTACTGGTCTGGGAGCCCACTTCAAGCCACTTTTTGACCTTTGACCCGACCCCAGAGAGGGGTCGAAGACCCCAGGAGGGTGCGCGAGGCGAAGGTGCCTCCCGCCCCGCCGCTGCTCCGAGGAGACCGTTAGGGGCCGCGACCGTCGACCCCGACCCGACCCACCCAGAGGTCAAAGTCGCGGGGGCTCGGACACCCCCCCTACGCCCCGCTCCCCGAGGCCAGGCCCCGCCTCCCGGCCGCTGACGGGCGTCTCCGCGGGCCTATGGGAGGCTCGCGTCGCTCCCTCCGGGGCGAGGCCGAGCGCGAGCCAATCCGCACTCCGGCGCCCGCCCCCCGCGCCCAACGGCCCAATCGGCGGCGGCCGCGGGGGCGGGGCTCCGCGGCGGGGCCAACCGGCGGGCACGCCGCGGGCGCGCGGGGGCGTGGCCGCGGCGGGGCGTGCGGCGGCGCGTGCGGCGGCGTCGGGCGGTAAACAAGATGGCGGCGGCGTGCGGGGCGCGGAAGCGGGAGGCGTCCCGGGGCGCCCGTCCGTGAGGCGGCGGCGGCGGCGGCGGCGGCGGCGCTGCATGGGCTGCGCCCCCCGCGCCGTCCCGCCTGCTGCGCGCGCGCCGGCCTCGGGCCCCCGCCTCGGCCGCCCGCCCGGAGCAGCCCCGTCGCGGCACCCGTCGCGCCCCGCGGGCCCGCGCTCGGCGGCCGGGCGCGGGCGCGCGTCTGCCGTTGGGGGCGCGGGGCGGCCGCGCGGGGGTCCCAGGCCGGGGCGCGGCGGCGTCGGCGCGGCGCCCGCGGGGCCCCCCGAGCGGACCGCCGGGGGTCCCGCCGGGCTCGGCCGCCCGCCCCGCGCGCCCGGCCCGCGGGGGATGGCCGCTGCGGCCGCGTCCGTGGCGCTCCGACGGCCGCGCGTCCCCGGAGGATGACCTAGAGCCCCCCGCGCGCCCCCCGCAGCTGCCGCCGGCGCCACCGGCCCCCGACGCCCGCCCCCCGCCCCCCGCAGCCGCAGCCGCCGCGGCGGCCGGCCGGGCACGCCTCTCCGGACCCGGCGCCCGCCGCTGCCCGCGGGACTGGACTGGACGCTCGGCCCCCGGCCGCCAGGAGGGGGCCCGGACTGCGCCTGTTTCTGATCTCTGAATTTTCACTTTTTTTCTTTCCGGGGGGAGGGTGGGGGGGGCGTGTGGACTTGTGTGGACTTCGCTTGATTTGCTGGGGGCGCCCTCGGAGCCGGCCCCGGCTCCCTCCCGCCCCGGGGGTCCCACGCCCGGCGGGGCCGCCCCCGCGGGGGTCCCCAGCATGGAGGTGGCCGAGCCGCAGCCCCTGGGCCTGTTCCCCGAGGACGAGCTCATGTCCGTGGGCATGGACACCTTCATCCACCGCATCGACTCCACCGAGGTCATCTACCAGCCCCGCCGCAAGCGGGCCAAGCTCATCGGCAAGTACCTCATGGGGGACCTGCTGGGCGAGGGGTCCTACGGCAAGGTGAAGGAGGTGCTGGACTCGGAGACCCTCTGCCGGCGCGCCGTCAAGATCCTCAAGAAGAAGAAGCTGCGGCGGATCCCCAACGGGGAGGCCAACGTGAAGAAGTGAGTCGGCCGGCCGGGTGGGCTCCGGGCGGCCCCCGCCCTTCCCCGGGACGGGCGACCCGCCCCCAAGCTGGAACTGTGCAGAGGGCGCCCCCCCACCCCGGCCCGGCGGGGCTCCTCCAGCTGTTTCCTGGTCTGGCCGGGCCGCGAGGGCCCTGGAGGGGTCCTGGGGGTGTGACAGCCAAGACCGACCCCTCGGGGATCCCCCAGGGCCCCGCCGAGGCCGCCTGGGGGCTCAGCTTGGTGCTGGCGGGGGCACCCGAGTCGCCGGCACCGCTGGGGGCCCGCGTGGGGCCACGTGGGGTGCGTGGGGCCCCGAGTTCAGGTGGGCACCGGCTCCTGTCCCACGCACTGTGTTCTCCCTGATTGTGCGGGGTGCTGTCCTCCTGGACGGCGTGGAGGCTTTTGGGGGGTCCCTGGGCGGGCTTCCCGCCGGGCCGGTTCTGGGAGTTGACAGCCCTTATCAGGGTGCTGTCTCCCCCCCACCCCCCCGGGGGCCTCCCCGCCCAGGCACCTCTCTGGGCCGCCTGCTACCAAGGAGGGGTTTATCTAACGGGCCAGACGGCCGCTCTGACCGTGACCTTGGACGCGCGGCCGTGGCGCGGTGCCCACAGCCGGCCTGGGACGTGCTGCCCTGCCCGGTGTCTGTTTTCACCCGCCTCCCGCGCCGGCTGGGAAGGGGTGCGGGCAGGGAGAGGCAGGCCTGGGGGGGCCCCCCCGCGGGCCCTCTCGTGGCGGAGGACTCAGGGCTGTTTGGGGGAGACAGGGCTGGCCCCCCCCCCCCCCCCCCCCCCGTCCCCCCGTGGTCTGACTGATCGTCCCAACTGTGGGCCACTTGCTTCTGTCCCGGGCGTGTGATGGGGCGCTGGGGCAGCCCCGCGTGCCCCCTGCTCTCCTCTGCGCCTGCTGGGGTCTCCCTGGCCCTCCGTGCCCACGTCCTCTTGGACTTTGAGGGCTGGGCCCACTCTGACGGGGTGGTGGCCGGCCCTGACCTGGGCCCAGATGTGGCCCCGAGGCCCCAGCTCAGCACCGAGGCCGGCGGAGGAGCGGGAGCGAGTCCTGGAGAGCCAGGCGGCAGGGAGCCATCGGGAAATTGAGGCCAGGGAGGGGCCTGGGTGCCACCCCGAGGGGGTCCCAGTGGTCTTGAAGGCCCAGTGCCTTGGCCGGGACCGGCAGTGCCAGCCGTAGTTCTACCCCCCTGCTCCGCCTGTGGGCGCGCTGTGGGGCCCCTGGCGAGGTGGCCGCAGCTCCTGCACCCCCTGGCGGGATGGCGCGGGCCGTGTCCTCGCCGTGTCCCCCGGGACCAGGGCAGGGAAGTACCTGGACGCTTCTCCCTGACAGCCGTGCTGGCAGTGGCGGGGTGGGGGCTCCCCGGGACTTGCTCCGGGGCGCAGGAAGTCTCTGGGCCTGCTGCCCGCCTTCTGGGGTTCTGGTGCCCAGCCTGCGGCCTGGAGCCGGCCAGCCCCCACCACCGCCTTGCCGGACCTGGCGGGCATGTGTCAGTTGGGGGTCCCGCCTGGGGGGAGCCTGAGCCCCAGGGCCACTTGGCCCCTGGGGTTGGTCTGGCCTCCTGCCCCTGAGATCAGCCCCGCGGGGTGTGCCTATTCCTCGTACCCCGTGTGGTTCTCATACCCCGCGTGTGTCCCCATATACCTTGTGTGTCCCATACCCTGTGCGCGTCTGTGTACCCCAAGTGTGTCCCCAGACCCTGTGCGTGGTCCCGTATCCCACGTGTGTCCCATTACACGTGGTGTGTGAGACACAGCACGGTGTCCCTGTACCCATGTGTCCCCCATTCCCACTGTGTGTCTGTATCTCGTGTGTCACCAGATCCCTTGTGTGTCCCCCATAGCCCGTGTGTGTGTCCCTGGACCCCATATCTCCCGGTACTTCCGCACTGTCTGTTGTGAGTCTGTGTGTTCCGTGGGTGACATCTTGAGGTGCAGGGCATCTTGAGGGGGTGCGAGGTGAGGGCCTGAGCTGGTTGTGTCTCCGGGTGTGCTGTGGCCAGTGTCCGGCGGGGTGGTGGCTGGTGCGAGACGTTCCGGGCCTGAACTCAGTTGGTGCCCAGGCAGCCCTCTGGGCCCTGTCCAGGCCCCCACCGGCCAGACCCCACCTGCCCATGCCCTGCCCAGAGGCTCAGGGGGCCCAGGAGGTCCCAGGCCTGGCACAGCCCGAGGTCTGGCGCGTGGCCTGGCCCCGCTGTGGCTTGAGAAGTTTGTGCAACAGAAAAGTGGCGAGTTAATGTGTAATTCAGGTTGTGTAACCCGCAACTCAGGCTTCAGCGCCCCCAGGATGCTCGGCCCCTGCCGCCTCGGGTCCTCTTCCCCTGTAGCCCCCCAGGGTCCTCCATCCCCTGCACCCCCCGGGTCCTCCTTCCCCGTAGCCCCCCGGGGTCCTCCTTCCCTGCGGCCCCCATCGGCCTGCGGTGGTGCGGGGCAGTTCTGACCCTTACTGACCCCATATCCCGGGTCCACCCTGGGCAGCCTCTGGGTCTGTTTCTCTCCCTGGGCGGATTCCCCCGAGCAGTGTGTGGACCCTGGGGCCCTGCAGAGCTGGGGTTGTCGCTGGGCATCAAATCTGGGGCGTCCGCGTGCCAGGCCCAGACCCCCCCTTGCCCCCCCCTTGAGCGCCTCAGCCCCGTGTGTGGGGGTTTCGGGGGCACCCGCAGGTCGCAGCTGTCCATTGTCTGCGTGGCCAGGGCAGCGTCCCTGGAGGTGGAGCAGGCGTGCCAATTCACCCTGGGGGGCCCAGGGCCGGGCACACGCCGACTCTGGGGACGTGCGGGTGTCTCCTTGTGGGGGGGGCGACTCCTGGCTCTGTGTTCGCCCGTGGTGGTCTGGTCGGGACCAGGATCGGCCTGGAGCTGGGCGATCGCCCCTGCCCTGGGTTTGATTCCTGCCATCCCGTATTGGTCCCCCGCCCAGAGCCACCCCTGCGTGCCAAGCCCCCAGCATCGTGGGCTGCGGCACGAAGCCCCATCCTCTCGACCCGGTCCTTGGGGTGTCTCGCCCTGGGGCCGGGGGTGTGGCTGTGCTCCTGAGGGGCACCCGGACCCTGTGCTTGCGGTCTCTCTGAGCTCCGGACCACCCTGCTGCCTGCCCTTCTCTCCGGGGGAGGGGGGGTCCCAGGCCCCCCCACAGGGCTCCTCAGTGTCCCTCTGGTTGGTTACTCAGCAAACTTGCTGCCGCTGCCAGCTGGGCTGGGGGTGCCCCTGCCCCACCCACCCCCCCCCGGAAACGCCGCTTCCTCTCCCCGCGCCCGCACTTCCTGCAGCCCGGCGGCCTGGCTTTTTCGGCAGCTGCCCTTTTCTTTCTGGGCCAGAGAGGAGTCGCTGCTCCCTGGGGGCCCTGGGGGCCGCCCCGCTCTGGGCCATCTGGGCCACCTGGGGGCAGAGTATCCTCGCCCTGAGCCTAGCAGTGTCCCCCCGCTGGCCGGAGGCGCCCTAGCGCTTGTCTCCTGCCTCTGTTGGTGAGGGCTGCGGTCCCCTCTGCCCGGCCCCCTACCTGGCCCCCCAGCCCGCCCTGCCGTTTCCTCCTGAGTCACCCGTGCACAAGCCTGCGGGGGGTCCCTGGGCGCCCAGGGAACGGGGGCCGGTTGGCGGGGCGGGGCTGATGTGTGGGACCCTCCAGGGCGGGGGTCCCCGTGCCACCTCTCTCTGGTCTCTGAGGAGCTGCTTGGAATGGGGGGTGTCCCACCCCTACTCCTGGAGCCCCCGGAGAGCGAGTTGCGTGTGGCTGGCAGCTGGAGTGGAGGGTGTCCGGAGATGGGGGAGCTCCTGCCCTGGGTCCTGGGGGACCCTCCGCAGTGGGCGAACCCCAGGTTGGGGGGGCCCTGGCAGTGATGATAGGTGCAGGGCAGAAGGAGGAGGAAGCCGAGAGTGGGGTGCACTGGGCCCTCCCCACCTCTCCCCAGGGCCTGCCCATGGGGGTCCCATTGGCTTACCCCCCCCTTTGCAGGGGGTGGATCAGGGAGGCTGCACAGGAGGATTTTGGCAGATGGGGGTGCCAGCCAGGTGCCCCCACCTCTGAGCAGCACGCCAGAGATTACGGGGTCCTCAGGTCTGGGGGACAGATGAGCCAGGGTGTGTTGGGGGCGGCCCAGGCTCTGTCCTGGGTATGAGTGCTCGGGGTGGGGGCATCCGGGAACGCTTCCGAGAGGAAGCCGTCTAGCCGGAAAACTGGCCAGTCTGGGCTGGGGTTCTCTCTGGGCAGCCTGCTGGGGGGCTGTGTGCCATCCCCTCGCGGGGCTTTGGGCTGCTGTGTTCCTGGTGGCACCTCTTGGTGGGCCTTTTCTGGGGGCAGGGTCGTGCCTGGTGATGCTGAGGACCCGAGTGGCTGCATGCAAGACCTCCCCTCCTGTTTCTCTGACCCGCGGGCAGGATCCCAGGGGATCTGGGGGTCTGTGTGTTGGAGTCTTGAGGGTTCTGGGAGCCATGGCCCTGTTGGCCAGCACCACTGTCCCTTTTTTTTTTTTAAAGTTTTTGGGTCACACCCAGCGACGCACAGGGGTTCCTCCTGGCTCATGCACTCAGGAATTACCCCTGGCGGTGCTCAGGGGACCATATGGGATGCTGGGAATCGAACCCGAGTCGGCCGCGTGCAAGGCAAACGCCCTCCCCGCTGTGCTGTCGCTCCGGCCCTGCATTGTGCCTTTCGAGCTGTGGCCGGGCACGTCGTTGCCTGTCCCCCCCCCCCCCCCCCCCCCCCCGGGTTGGGGGCACATCTGCGCGGGGCGGGGCTGCTCTTCCTGTGGGGTGCTGGTGTGTTCTCTTTTTATTTTCTTAAATAAAGCCCAAGAGTGGGTGGGGGGGAATGGGCCCTCCGGCCGGGAGGGCAGCGGGGGTGGCCCCTGGCCCCGCCGGGGTGACCCGCGCGTCTCCGCAGGGAGATCCAGCTGCTGAGGCGCTTGCGGCACCAGAACGTCATCCAGCTGGTGGACGTGCTGTACAACGAGGAGAAGCAGAAGATATATCCTGGGCGCAGGGCTGGGGCAGGGGGCGCTGGGGGCTGGGGGACGGGGCGGGGGGCCAGCGTCCCGGCGGGCGGAGCTTTCCTTAGCCCGGCACGTATATGGTGATGGAGTACTGCGTGTGCGGCATGCAGGAGATGCTGGACAGCGTGCCCGAGCGCCGGTTCCCGGTGTGCCAGGCCCACGGGTGAGTGCCCGCCCCCGCCCCGCCCCCCCGCACGGCCCCCGCCGGCCAGCGCTGAGGGGGGCTTTGCCGTGCCCCGCGCCCGCAGCTACTTCTGCCAGCTGGTGGACGGCCTGGAGTACCTGCATAGCCAGGGCATCGTGCACAAGGACATCAAGCCGGGCAACCTGCTGCTCACCACGGCCGGGACCCTCAAGATCTCCGACCTGGGCGTGGCCGAGGTGGGTGGCGCGCCCGGGCTGGCCAGCGGGGAGAGCAGCACCCCACCCCACCCACCCCCCGCCCTGATCCTGATCCCGTCCTTTCTCCCTCCCCCCAGGCCCTGCACCCGTTCGCCGAGGATGACACGTGCCGGACAAGCCAGGGCTCCCCCGCCTTCCAGCCCCCCGAGATCGCCAACGGCCTGGACACCTTTTCGGGTTTCAAGGTGGACATCTGGTCGGCAGGGGTGACGCTGTGAGTGCCACTTTTCCCTGGGGCGGGGTAGGACAGCGCGCTGTCCCCTTGGGGTGGCCAGGGCTGAGGCCCCCAGCCTCCCGTGCGCTCTGCCAGGCCCTGCACTGGCCGCTTGGTCCCTCGGGTTTGTTGGGGGTCAGGGGCCACACCCTGTGGATGCAGGGCCACCTCCTCCGGACAGGAGGCGAGGGGTGACGCTGGCCTCGGCGGGCCCGCTGCACCCCTGCAGCGCCCACTGGGTGGGCGGTGGTCTCGAGATACTTACGGCGTCTCCCACGGCCCGTCCACAGCTACAACATCACAACGGGCTTGTACCCCTTCGAGGGGGACAATATCTACAAACTGTTCGAGAACATTGGCAAGGGCGACTACAGCATCCCGGGGGACTGCGGGCCGCCACTCTCTGACCTGCTCAGGGGTGAGTGTCGGAGGGCGGGGGGGCTGGGCTGCCAGGGGTGCGGCTCGTGCCTGCCCGGCCTCACTGCGCTCTCCCCAGGGATGCTGGAGTATGAGCCATCCCGGAGGTTCTCACTGCAGCAGATCCGGCAGCACAGGTGAGGGGGGGTGCAGGGCGGCAGGGGGGCCTGGGGGAGGGGCAGCGGGTGGGCCGGCTCCTAGGGGGCAGGGAGCAGAACCCAGGTAGGGCAGCAGGCGGCCAGACCTGCTGTCGGGTCCTGGGGTCCCTGCAGGGGGGGCCACAGGCAGCTCTCCTCCAGGCCCTGTGGTCCTGGCCCCCCAGCGTGACGGCCCCCTGGTGCACTGGGTCTCTTCGTCCCGCCCCTCCGTGCGGGGCCGCTGGGCTGCGTGTGTCCCGCCCTGAGGGGCCTGCAGCGCTCGCTGCCTCCTGTCCCGCAGCTGGTTCCGCAAGAAGCACCCGCCGGCCGAGGCGCCGGTGCCCATCCCGCCGAGCGCAGACTGCCGGGACCGCTGGCGCGGGATGACGGTGGTGCCCTACCTGGAGGACCTGCACGGCTGCGCCGACGACGCCGATGAGGACCTCTTCGACATCGACGACGACATTGTCTACACTCAGGACTTCACGGTGCCAGGTGGGGAGCCGCGGAGCGGGGAGCCGCGGGCTGGAAGCCACGGAATGGGGGAGCCACGGAGCAGGGAGTCACGGAGCGGGGGAGTCACGGAGCGGGGGCGTCACGGAACGGGGAGCCCCGTGCAGGCCAGGGGGTCCGGCGGCCCCACATGCTCCCCTGGCCCTGACCTGCGGCCTTGCTTCCCCAGGTGGCGAAGAGGTGGCCGAGGCGGGGCTTAGAGACTGCCGGTTGCATCTAGGCCAGTGCTCGGCCCTTTGTGGACAGGATGCTGAGGCCGGGGGCGCAGACAAGCTGGCCACAGGGCTGCAGGGGGAGGCCGAGGGGGGCGCCAGGCCTTAGGCAGCAGGGCCGGAAGCAGGGAGGGGCCTGCTGGGGGGGCGCCCGTTATAAAGCTGCCGTGTCTGCACAGTGCTGCTTGTCGGACCCTGCTGGCCGCCGGGGCCCCACCGCCAGGGGGAGGGTGCAGGGGCGGGGGAGTGCTGGGAGGCCTCCCGGGTTAGGCGAGACCTGGCGCCTGTGGACAGGGCAGGTGTCAGGATGAAGTTCCTGCCTCGGGCGCTAGGGGGCACCCTGAGGCTCTCGGGGCAGCCACCTGCTGTCCCCCTCACCTCGGCTACTCCTGTCCTTCCCTGACCCCTCACACACGAGACATCCCTGACCCTGGCCATCCCACCTTGTCCCCCCAGACCTTGGCTATCTTGTGCCTCGTCCCCCAGAGTCCAGGCATCCCATTTCCACTTTTGGACCCCCAGACCCGGGAGTGACCTCTGGCCATCTCATCCCCATCCCTCGCCCCCCGGACCCCAGCCATCCCATCCCACCCTCTGGAGTCACACGTGAGAATAGGGGCCTCCATCTGTGAGCAGCCGTGGCCCCAGGTGGGCCCAGCCCCCAGCCTGGAAGGGCCCCTGTGGGACCCGGGACAGCCCAGCATCAGAACGGCCGGTTTCCCGCCCTGCAGCCTGCGGGCCCCTGAGCCCCGTGTGCTCGGTGAGGGAGGTGGGAGGCGAGGCAGGGCCCGCCCTGCCATGGGCCTGCCCCCCCTCCATGTTCCGAGCAGCACGGAGGCCCCAGGCCCCAGGCGCGCGGTGTGGTCAGACTCAGAACCTGCTCCCAGCAGTGACGCGACCCCAGCAGCCTCCGGAGCCGGAGCCGGACAGGGGGGAGTGGCTGGGCCCTTAGCACGGGCGGGCCCCTCCCTGTCCCTTGTCCTGACTGGGGGGTGGCGCTCAGCCTCAGGTGGCCCTTCCTGCAGCACGGCCCCCCCACCCCCCCAAATAGCACCCGGGGGGCCTGGCCGGCCCGCCCTGGGTTCGGGCTCCTGCAGGCCACCGTGGGACCCGGCCGGGGCGTGGCCTGGGCCCCGACCAGCCCCCCTTGTCCTTTCCCTCCTAGGGCAGGTCCCGGAGGAGGGCTCCGGCCAGAACGGACAGAGCTGGGGCCTGCCCAAGGCCGTGTGCATGAACGGCACGGAGTCGGCGCAGCTGAGCGGCCGCCCCCGGGCCGAGCGCAGGGCCAGCGCCAACTCCACCCCGGCGCGCAAGGCCTGCTCGGCCAGCAGCCGCCTGCGCCGCCTGTCGGCCTGCAAGCAGCAGTGAGCGCAGCGCCCGCAGGTGGGTCCCCGGACCCCTCTCGGCCACGCAGCACCGGGGGCGGCCCTCGCCCTGACCCCTCTCGCCCCCTCCCCCGCAGGCGAGCTCCAGGAGCCACAGCCCAGGCCCCCCGGCTTCCCGCCCCAGGCCGGGGTGGCGCCTCGGCCGCGGTGCCGGCCAGGGCCAGCGGACACTGGGGTCCGGCCCCGCGGGCCCGGCCAGGCGCGCGCCCCGCCCGTGGACTTGGCCACAGATGCCCAGCCGGGCCCCGGAGTGGAGGAGGATGCGCCCTGTGTGGGGCCAGGGACCCCCGCCATGCACTTTACGTTCCAACACTGGTTCGCGCCGGCCCGGACGCCCGTCGCCACGCCGCTCCCCGGGGACGCCGCGGGGCTGGTGCGGGGAACCTGCCAGCAGGATGCATGCCCAGCCCCCGAGGGAGCCGGGCGGCTGTCTCGTTTCGTTTGGTTGGTTCTTTTATTTCTTTTTTTAAGAAAAAAAAATAAAACAGGTGGATTTGAACTGTGGTCCTGAGGGCTGTCTGGGAGTGCCGGGGTCTCCCAGCGCGGGGGCTGGTGGGCCAAACTCGGGGCACGCTGTACCTCCGGGGGGGCGGGTGGGTGCCAATCCCCATCCCCCTGGCTCCCAAGCCCACCTCCCTGTCGGCGCGCCCGGGTTCCCAGAAAAAAAAAAAGACGAGAGCAGATGCAGTAAATATTTATGGGGAACGGGAAGGAGAACACAGCCCCATCCTGGGGTGGCACAGACAGCTGGGAGTTGGCTGGGCGGGGCGCAGAGGCAGCCCCAACTTTTGGCAATAAATAAAGCTCGGGAAACTCAAACCCTTGGCCTGCGGGTCGTGTGAGTCGCGAACACTGACGGGGGTCCTGGCGGCTCTGGAGACGGACGTGCAGCGGCGGCGGGGTGGGCCGCCCGCTCGCATGCGGAGGGCGGGCGCGCAGGGACACGGACACAGACGAGGGGGCGCCGTCCAGGGGCGGGGGACGGGGGCAGCAGCTTCGGCGGCGGCGGTTATTGCTCGGAGGGGCGCGGACTGCCGCGAGCACACGCCGAGGTGAGGTAAACGGCTTTGGGGGGCTTGGCTTCCGCGGGGTCCTGCCGAAGGTGCAGGCCCCGGGCCGGCGTGTTGACCCGGGAGCTCAACGGACACTCGGGCACTCGCGGCCTCCCGTGCCCGGGCCGGGGGCGCGGCGGCGGCGGCGGCGGCGGGCGCCCTGCGGGCAGCGGCTCTGGAGCGCCGTCTGCTGCCCTGCGCCCCAGCTTGGGGGCGCCGGGGGCCACCGTCGGGGGCCGAGGGAACGCGGCGGATGTGGTGGTGGGTTGGAGCCCGGAGGGGCGGCCGCGGCCCCTCACTCGCACGCCTCCAGCGCCGTCCCGGGGAGCCGGGGTCCTGCAGCCTCGGGCCGCGGTGCGCGGGGCCTGTGCGCACGCCCGTGGCGCTGGTCCCCGTCGCCCTGTCCCGCCGCGGGCACCTCCCGCGCGCGCGCGCAGCCGGCGCGACTGACCGGACGCGGGCGTGGGGCTCGGGGCTTAGGCCGGGCTGTGGTCTGGGGACGTGGGCGCCGCCGCGGCCGCCAGCGCCGGCGCCGCGGCGACGGACGGAGCGAGGCGCGGCGGGAAGAGTCCGTCGTCGAAGTGGGTCGCCAGCTTGTCCAGCAGCGCCCCCGGGGGCCCGGCACACAGGCCCGAGCCCGGACAGCCGCCCCCACCCCCGCCGCCGCCGCCGCCCCCGCCCGGCTCCTCCTCGATGACGGGGATGGCCGGGGCGGCGGGCCCTGCCGGGTCGTCGGCCCCGCGGCCGTCGGGGGGACAGTCGACACTGTCGCCGCGGCGCAGGGGCGCGCGCGCGGGGCGCGGGGCGCCGCCGGGCGGGGGCGGGAGCGAACCGGGGGCGGCGGCGGCGCGCGCGCCGGGGTCGCTGTGCTGGCGGCCGCGCTGCCACTGCTTGCGCGCGTGCGGGTGCGCGTGTGCGTGCGCGTGGGGCCGCGCGCGGTGGCGCGCCTGGGGCGCGTCGTCAAAGTGCGGGTCGTGGCGCAGGAACTCGTGGAAGAGCGCGTCCGTCTTCTCGTCGATGCTGTAGTCCCGGCGCGGGCGGCGGGGCCAGGCGCGGGGGCTGCGGGGCCGGGCGGGCGCGTCGGCGGGCGCGCCGTCCAGGCTGGTGCCCACGCGGTCGGCGCTGGCGAAGGCGAAGAGCTTCTCGGGCGCGCCCAGCAGCCCGTCGTCGCCGGCGCCGCGGCCCTCGATGCTGGCGTAGCCGCTGTCCATCTGCAGCAGCTTCCGCGCCCCGCCGGGCTCGCTGTCCGCCGCCGCCGCCGCCGCCGTGGGGCGCGGGGTGGGCGGCGGCGAGGCCGGCGGCGGGAAGGCGGGCGCGGGACCCCCCGAGCCCGAGCCCGAGCTGTCGCCGCTGCGCACCGAGTCGCGGTCGTTGCCGCTGCTGCTCTGGTCCGACGCGGCGGCCGCGTGCAGCTCGAGCGAGGCGCGCAGGCTCCACAGGTCGTGGTAGCTGGTCTGCGCCGCGTCGGGCCCCGCATCGCGCTCGCTGTCCGAGTCCTGCTGCTGCTCCGGCCCCGCGCTGGCCCCGCCGCCGCCGCCGCCGGCCCCGCCTTCGGGGGGAGTCTCGGGGCTCGCTCCTCCCGCGGCGCCCGCCGCCTCTAGCCTGGAAGTCGGGCGTCGGTCAGAAGGCCACGCGCGCGCTTGCGTGCCTGCGCCTGCGTGCGTGGCCCTGGGTGTAACCCCCCCCACGGAGCCCCCAGCCCGCTCAATCACTGGTGGGAACCCGCGGCGGTGGCAGGTTCCCCACGCGAGATTCCAGTTGCTCAAACCCTCCCATCGGGGCCCCTCTTCCAATCTGCCTCCCTAGCCACGGTCGCCCATCCTAGAGCCGCAGACCCCTTTTCCTTTGGGGGCTGAGCGGTTTCATCCATCCCCGCAGTGAAGAGACCTGCCCGGCTCACCCCAAAACGGGACCCCAGATTTAGGGTGCTCTGCAGGGCCGGGGAGGGTATTGCAGGCAACACGGGGCCCTGAGGAGCACCAGCAGGGCCCTCAGAGCGACAGGGCTGGACCTTCAGGCTTAGAAGGCCCAGGTGCCCTGGTGCCCACCCCGGCCCGGGCCCTGCCCTTACCCAAGCCTCCTGGCTTCCCTCCACCGTCTGGGCTGGAGGCAGCTCCCCCCGGAGGCCCAGCGGGAGCCGGAGAGCCATGACCGCTTGTCCTCCGGAGCGCTCCCCCGGCCACCTAGGCGGGTTGGGCAGGGCTGGTGCCCGCGGGTCCACCCCTAGCACCTCTATCTACTGAAAAATACCTGCCGAGAGCGGGGGTCTGGCTGGTGGGGCTGGCCAGGAAGGGGCGGTGGGGGGACTGGAAGGCCACCGCGTCACCCGCGCTGGCGATGTACTGGATGAAGTCGGCCCTGGGGGCGTCGCCCTCCTGCTCCATGCTCTCGCTGGCCGCCCGCTGCCGCTGGAAATGGTGCCGTTTGGGGGAGCCTGCACGGAGGGAGGTGGGTCAACCGGCCGGTGCAGGTGGGGAAACTGAGGCACAGAACACCTCCCCGCCCCCTCCCCCCCCCCACACACATCCCCAAGGCCTGGATGGGGCTGGCAGAAGTGACAGGGTCAGGGTCCGGGTGAGCTGGGTGTGGCCATCACAAGGACCAGCAGTGGTCAGGGCCAGGTGCATGGGCGGAAGCCGGAAGGCGTGGGAGATGGGAGGACAAGCTGGGGGGTGGGGGGAGAACACAGCCCGGTCCTGTCAGCTCCACTGTGGGCTGGGGAGTGCCGGGAATGGCCCCGCCCCGCCTCGCCTGTGGGCCCCGGCTGGCCAGCGGCCAGGACCCTCCCATGAGGGGCCCTGGGAGAAGCGGGTAGAGAAGCCTCCAGCTGGAGCCCAATCACCGGACAAACAGGTTCTGGGCGCCGCTGCACCCACACCCCCACACCAGCCTGTAATCACGCCGGCATCTCCAGAGAGGCAGGATGGGTCCTCCCACCCCTGCTTGAGTGAGTCCAGTCCCTCTGCCAGGACCCCCCCTCCACCGCCCGATCCCCCAAAATGTGAGAGCCGGGAAGTTTCTTTTTCTGTTTGTTCTGGGACCAGGCCTAGCCGTGCTTAGAGCACCTGCCATGTGTCCCCCCCCCCCCAACACCTCACAGTGAGTGGCCATTGGCTCTGGGCTCAGCGTCCGACTCACCTCTTGTGTCCAGGCTGGATGCACGCTGGCTGGGCTCCAGTTTCCACTTTTTGACCTTGAAGTAGGGGCTGGCCCCGTCCAGGCTGGCATGACGGCGCAGGCGGTGGAAAAACTGCAGAACGGGGCCCGCCCCCGAGCTGGGGCTCCCCTCCGCCGGCCCGGCGGCGGCCCCCAGCCCGCCAGGCTTGCTGCTTCTGGTCCCCACGTCCAACTGTGAGCGGAGAGGAGGTGCTCAGGTCTGCAGCGCCTCCAGGGGGGGAGCCCCTGTCTGGGCACTGGCTGGAGTGGGTAACGCCCCCCCACCAGTGTCCCTTGCAGGCTGGGGGGAACAGGACGGAGATGCGGGAGAGGGGGCTCTGTTGTCCCCCACCCTGAACAAAGCGGGCTTCCCAAGTGCATCTCTGGAGCGTGTGTGTGTGTGGTGTGTGTGTGTGTGTGTGTGTGTGTTGTGAGCCATGCACCCCGGCACCCGCCTTTTCCTCTGCAGACTGACCTGGTGGCCTGGGGCAGGGCAGAGAGGGGACACGCGGGGGGGGGGGGGGGCGGGGAGGGCAGGGGGCCTCACCGAGGTGCCTTCCCCTGACTCGCTGGACGCCGAGTCGCTGATCTGGAAGTCGGCGGCGTCTGTGGCTGTGTTGTAGGGATCACCTGGCAGGGCGGAGCTGGGGCCCACGGAGCGGCCAGTGAGGGCCTTCCCCGGGGGCTGTGGGTCAGAGCCAGGACCGGGGGGGAGGAAGCAGTGACGGGTCAAAGGCCCCGCTCCCGCTGTCCTGCGCCCCAACCCATCCCCTCCGTCCGGGGGGGCCCCAGAGGAGGGGCGCCTCTGCCTGCAGGGTGGGGGGGTCTTGGGAGGGGTCCCTCCACGCTCACCTGGAAGATGGCCAGGCTGGCCTTGGGGGGGACAGTGGGATGGGGTGTGGCAGTGGCCTCGCCCTGGTCACACTCGTGGATGGTGACAATCTTGAGGGGCGGTAAGTGCAGCTGGGTGAGGCGGGCGTTCTTCAGGTGGTGGAAATCTCCCTCGGTCAGTGTGTACCTGCAGGGGCCGGAGCGTGGTGGTCAGCCCGCTGAGGTGGCCGGAGGGGCCGGGCGCGGGGTCCAGGGTGCGCCCCCTACCCTACCGTCGGCCCTTGTCCTGCCCTTTGCGGCTCTGCTCGAACAGGGCGGCCTCGTTGAAGGACACGCGGCGGCCCACGATACTGCTGGACAGGAAGCGCTCGGTTTCGCCGTCCTGGCTTTCGGGGTCATCCCCCTGGCATTCGGGGTCTGTGAGGGGAGGGGCAGAGGTGAGCCCCGGGTGGGCCTGGGCTGGGCGGGCGGGCGGGCCGCTGGGGGTGGGGGGGAGGAGCGAGGGGGGCCCCCGGGCGCCCGCCGGGGGAGGGGGCCACTGGCTCATCCGCACACACACTCACTCTCAGCACGCGCCTGGACACCTACGCGTGGGCTTTAAGGAAACAGAGATGAGTCGGAATCGAGCAGCGCCCAGTCTGGTGGGGGAGACAGACAGACACAGGGTCAGGCGGCCCGAGGGGCAGAGGGGGCTGGTGGGCGGGCGGGCGGGCGCACGGTGGGCAGGGCCCGGCGGGGAGCCTCACCTGGAGCCAGGTGGGTGCCATTGTCCAGGTAGGTGCCCGTGGCCTTCTCCACTTCATCGGAGGCTCTGCGCAAGGACAGGAGAACCAGATGGGCAAAGGGTACCAGATGGCCACGTCCCAGCTCCCAGGAGGCTCCTGCAATGCCCACCCCCCCGCCCACAAACCCTATCCTGCAGTGGACTCCGGCTGCCAAGCACGCACGCACGCACGCACACACACACCCCCTATACCCGCACAGAGGTGCACCTGCACCTTGGGGCACACGTGCGCATGCGTGCACCTGCTCCCTGGGCACCTGCCCGTGCCCCACGCCAGGTCCCGGCGGGTGGGCGCACCTGTTGAAGCGCCGGTGCACGTCCCAGCAGCGCTTACACAGAAGCAGCACCCCCGACAGCACCACGAGCGTGCCCCCCACGAACAGCGACATCACCACCACCAGCAGCGCGTAGTTGTCCAGGATGGGGTCCGGAGCCGCCTGCGGCCGGAAGGGGCGGGCTCAGTGTGGGCGGGGCCCCAGCCGGCCCCGCCCCGGCCCCGCCCCCGGCCCGGACTCACGGTGGGGCGGCCCGTGGTGTTGGCCCACGCTGGCGTCAGCGCGACCGTGGTGGCACCGGTGGCTGCGGCGTCCGTGGCCATCGTGGCAGTCGGCTGCATTTTTCGAAGCCGGGAAAAGGGACCTGGGCGAGTCGGGGCGCTTGCTGAGCTGGGGCTGCTCCTTCCGGCCCCTCTCCCCAAGCAGGAGCCCCTGCTGGGCCGTGACTCACTCTGGGGGCCTCGGGATGTGGGGGGGGTGGGCGGGCAGCCGTGCAGCAGCCTCCTCCCCGCGCGGACCCCCATTCCCCGCCCATCTCTAGCGTGCAGTGGGGCGGGGCGGGGCGTCGTGCGCATCCGACCCAGGGGAGAAGCGCACCCGCGGCCGGAATGGGGAAACCAAGGCAGGCAGCTGGCTCCGGAAACCCCAGGGACCTTGCCCAGCCCCATCAGGCAGGGAATATGGGACGCGCAGCTGCAGCAGCCGGTGCCCGGCTGGCAAGGACCCGGCGGGTGGTGTTGCACGGGGATGGGGGGGCGGGAGCACCCCCCGGAGGCTGCGCATCCTCCCGACCCAGGAGGGAGAGCTGGGTGCTGTGCGGAGTTGATCCCAGGTCACGACTCGGGAGGGGACGGTCCCCCCCGGGCTGCCGTGCGCCAGTGGGAGTGAAAAGGACAAAGAAGACGCATCTGTGCCGAGCCTGAAGAATCCGGTTCCCATGGCGACGGAGCGAGCGGGCCGAGGGGGGGCGGGTTGCCAGGGAGCACGGAGGGAGGAGCGCGGGGGAGTGAGGCCTCCCGCGGGGGCGGGCTGAGCCGCCGGGCGGCGACATGGCTGCGGCGGCGCCTCCCCGGCCGCTGCCCAGCCACCGGTCTGGCCCGCCTCCAGGACGCCTTCCGCGGGGACCGGAGGGAAACTGAGGCCGGGGAGGGGGCGGTCTGCAAAATTTCACCTGCCCGTCCTCTCCTCCTGGCCGCCCGCTCCCGAGAAGGACTGCAGGGACCCGCGGAAGGGATCTAGGAGGAATCTGGGGTCTGGATGCAGCCCCGGGGGTGGGCATGGCCTGGGGGGGGGGAGGTCACCCCCTGCAAGCCGTCAGGGCTTGGACCCTTGGGGCAGCGGGGACTGAACAGGCCCGGAGGAGGCTCCAGGGGAAGCTCAGGTGTCCCTCAGCGCGGCGGGCAGGCTGGGGCGCGCCTCCACCACCCGAGGTCTTGGGGGGGTGGCGGTGGAGGAGGGGGCGCGGATATGTAGGTCGGGAAACGAGTTCAGGCGGGAGGGGGAGGGGACAGACGCGCAGGGCGACGATGACAGGCGGCCGGGAAAGAAGGCAGGAGGCCGCGGGCCCGGGCTGGCGGGGTCGGTGGGGATGGGGAGCCGCCGGCGGGGGTTCCGACCCACGAGCCGGCCTCGGAGGTTCGGCTCCCGCGAGCGCGCGCCGCGCCCACCTCCGCGTCCCGGCCCCGGGGGCGGGCGGGCCGGGAGGGAGGCCCCGGGAACCCGATTCCAGGCACATTCCCACCGCGGGCGCAGCCCGGAGGCGGCCGGCGCCACGGGCTGGGCTGGATCTTGCGGGGAAACTGAGTTCGCGGGTGGGGGGGTGGGGAAAGGCAGGGGCGTGCGTCCCTCTCCTGGGGTGCTGGGGCGGGAGGCAGAGGCCCCCTGCAAGGCCGGCCTCCCCCGCACGCGCCCGGGCCCGTTCCGTTCCCTCTCTCCGGCCTCGCGGGGGCAGGGCCGGCCGGTCCCCGGGGCAGGGCGCCCTCCCCCCACCACGCGAGCCGGCCGCGATCTGTGCCCCCCGGCCCGCCCCGATTGCAGCCCCGGGCCCGCCGCGCCTACCTTAGCGCCGGGGCGCGCGGCCCATGGGCGGCGGGCGGGTTGCGGTGCGGCGCTCCCGCTGGCTCGGGCGCCCGGTGGCCGCGGAGCAGGCGAAGAATTTATGAATGGGGCGCGCGGCGCGCGGGGGAGGCGCGCGCGAGAGGCGGGGCCGCGCACGTGACCGCGTTGGCGGTGGCCCCGCTCGGTGCCGCCCGGTGTCTCCCGGTGCCCGGCCGGCCGCCCGCCCCCGCCGCGCTCGCCGCCGCGTCTGGCTCGCTCCCTGCTGGTCACCGCCTCCCCTTCCCTTCCGGTGGGGGCGGGGGGCGGAGCCTGCGCTCCGGGGCGCCCCCTCCCCAAGCGGACCCGCCCCTCCCCGGCAACGGCGGAATCTCCGCCCCCGGCCCGGCGGCACGACTCCTGTGCCCGTGTCCCCAGGGACGCGAGGGGGAGGTCCTGGCACGCACGACTCTGCCGCCTCCGCTTCCTCCGATCTGGGGGGTGCCGGGGTGCACGACATCCCCACCTTTATTGCACGGCGGGTCGTGGAGGGGGCCGCGCCCTGCCTGTGCTTCCTCTGATCTGGGGCTGCCGGGGTGCTCGATGATTGCAGGATGGGTCCCGGGGGTGCCCAAGCCGCACCCCGGCCTGCCCAGCCTATGGGTTAGGAGGAAATTTGCCCCCCCCTGCTACGGATGCTTGCCTCCCTTATTATTATTATTATTATATTTGCTTTTTTGGTCGCACCCGGTGATGCACAGGGGTTACTCCTGGCTCTGTACTCAGGAATCACTCCTGGCGGTGCTAGGGGACCATATGGGATGCTGGGAATCAAACCCGGGTTGGCCGTGGTGCAAGGCAAACGCCCTCCCCGCTGTGCTATCACTCCAGCCCCTAGCCTCACTTTTTGAGATCCCTTGGGGAGCACAAAGCCCAGGTGTGCCTGATGAACCCTCAAAGCTGTTTCCCCCCATAACCCAGCCCCCTCCAGTTCTAGCCTCGACTCCTCACTCTGCTCGGAACATCCTAATGTGGGAATACCGTCACGATAGGCAGGCACCCCTTTCTCCTGTGAAAACCAAAGTCCTGTCCAACCTCAGAATTCTGAGGAGGAGGGGGAGGAGGAGGGTTTTGCACCGTTTGCTCTGACAGTTTTACTCCTGGCTCGGTTCTCTGGTCGCCCGGGGAGGTGCTTGCAGGACCATGGGATGCTGAGGTCCAACTAGTGCTTTCTTGCATGCAGATGCCCGCCAGCCGCACCCGTGTGGAGTCTGTCCAGAAGGTTTGTCTTCTTCTGCTCGGCAGCCCTCTTCTGCTCTCTGGTGAAGTCTCCATTCCCACCCTGCACTCAGCACAGGGGGTCTACACCACCCAGGAAAGACAAAAGGACCTTATTCCAGGAATGCTGGCTCATCGGAAGGGTATGGGGAAGAGAATCCGGAGGCGAAGGGGCAGGGCCAGAAGAAACCACCTTCTGACTTTTTATTTTTTTTTGCCTTTTTGGGTCACACCCGGCGATGCTCAGGGGAAACTCCTGGCTCATGCACTCAGGAATTACTCCTGGCGGTGCTCGGGGGACCATATGGGATGCTGGGAGTCGAACCTGGGTCGGCCATGTTGGCTGCGTGCAAGGCAAACGCCCTACCCGCTGTGCTATGGCTCCAGCCCCACCTTCTGACTTTTGCAGAGAAACCAAGAGACTGTCCTTTGAGATTTAAAAGCATCCATCCATGGTGGTGCCCAGGGGGAGGCGGAGGCCAGGCAGGCCAGAGCTAAGGAACCAAGTCTTGACACTGGACACACAGACTTGCAGGCAAACCAACCCCAGGTTTGGGGCGTCAGTCACCGCTGGGGAGTTCTGGAGCCGCCCTGGAGTAGGAAGCAGATGGTTTTGAGCAATCTCTGGCTCCAGAGAGGCGGGAGCTGCGCACAGGACGCAGCCCTGGGAACGACAGTCTCTTCCATCTCTGCACAGTAGTTCCCAGGCCAGGATGCCTAAGGCATTGGGAATTTGGGGACTGACGCGCCCCACTTCCGGCAGGTTGCAAGTGGCCTGCAAAGTGCCGCAGATGGGCCTCAATACCGGGTCTCCCTCCTGGCCAGCACTGCCAAGGATGTGGGCGCACGCATTCCCCAGTGGGTGTGTTGGGAACCCACCGTAACTGCATGCCCTTTGCAGCCAAGGCAAGCCACCTGCTCAGGTGCGCCAGGGAGGACTCCGACGAGCAACCGGATGCTAGGCGATGGGGGGCGGGGAAGGTGGAGGAGGGCCGGACGCCGACCTGCAGGGGCGCGGAGGCGGGGCGGTGACGCTAGTGCCCTGAACGAGGCTGCGCGGGCCGCGGTGACGTCAACGGAGCCCCGGGCCTCCCGCGCACGCGTGCTTGCGTCAGCGGCGTGCGGAGGCGGTGGCCGGGCGGGGCGGTGAGAGAGCATCTCTGGACGGCGGGCGCCCCCTGCCGGCCAGCCGAGCACCGGCCAGCCGACGCCTGGGTGTCCGTCCCGGCTTGGGTTAAGGTGCCTGCATCCAGCTTTCTTTGTTTTAGGTTATCTGTCCCCTGCACACACTGTATGAGTTGACGGTTTGGGGGACTGATGATAAAGAACTCCACCACCCCAATCTAGAGATTTCCAGGTTTATTCGGGGAAAATAACATCATAACATCGATGTCTGGAAATCTGCGTGTGTGTGTGTGTGTGTGTGTGTGTGTGTGATTTTTGGGCAACACTCGGCAATGCTCAGGGCTTACTCCTGGCTCTGCACTCAGGAATCTCCTGGTGGTGCTTGGGGGACCATATGGGATCCTGGGGATCAAACCCGGGTCTGCCAAGTTGCAAAGCAAACGCCCTCCCCGCTGTAGTACTATCGCTCCGACCCTGGAAATCTCCCTTAAGCTGATAGTCCCCCTTAATTGCCCCAGAGCTGCTAACCCTCCCACCCCCCACCTCCACCAGTTTTTCAGAGCTCCCCAAGGGGCAGCATCACCTACTCTTGGAAATCCAGCCAAGGAATCTAGATCTTTCCCCGAAGTGTCTGTCTCTAGCCTTTAGCATCCCAAGAGCCATTCCTCCCCGCTCTCTCACTCAATCACGAATTCACCTCAAGGATACCCTCTCCAGCCCGCATGTTTCAATGCCCGCCCACGCAAGAACCTGCTAACCGACCATCCGGCCGGGAGGCTCCAGGAAACTACAACTCCCAGAATGCCGCGTAAGACGGAGAGAAAAAAAACAACCGCCGGGCGCGAGGCACTCTGGGAATTGTAGTCCGCGCGTGCGCCCTCCTCCGGACTGTTCCTCCCAGACTCCCCCGCGCGCCGTCCTCCTCGCCCTCCAGGCTGCGGGTCCTGAGTCCGCCTGCCGCTGCCGCCGCCGCCGCCGCCACCTCCATGCTGCCCGCCGCGCTCCTCCGCCGCCCCGGCCTCGGCCGCCTCGTGCGCCAGGCCCGTGCCTACGCCGAGGCCGCCGCCGCCCCGGCCTCCGCCGCGGCTCCGGGACAGATGTCCTTCACCTTCGCCTCCCCCACGCAGGTTCGGACGCGGGCCCGGCCGGCCCATGCCCATCGCCCCTGCCCCGTGGGCCCCGAGGTCACCGGGCCGCATTCCGGATCTGCACCCCGACCCCGAGTGTTCGGGATCGGAGACCTGCGACTCCCCACTTCCTTGCTCCTGGGACCCTCCCCTGAGCGTCTCGGTATCGAACCTCCCCCCCACCCCATTCCCATTATGAATTTTGGCTCTTCTGCCCCTCCCCCGGGCGTCCACTCTCTGAGCCGCGGGACTGCCCCCCGCCCTCCGCCGCCGCCCCCCGGCCTGACGCCCATTCTCGCCCGACTCTCATTCTCATCCTGCATTCCTCCTCCGAGTGATTATTCTGGACCCGTTCTGTATTAAACGTCTGTGATCCCAGGCCCCGACCCCATTGGTCAGATTTCCCCTTCGGGGTCTCGCTTTGTAACCTAGAATTCCAGCCGCCCGGACCCCCTTTTTCAGCTCCAAGATCCGTAGATCCCAAAGCCCTCTCCACTCTCTGCCTTCTCCATTCCAGAACCTCCCAGAATCCCCTTGTCCACGGGGCAGACCTGCCCTTGACCCTGCCTCCCGGAGGGAACCTCTCAGAGTTAAATCCCTTCTGCTTCCCACCCCCCCAACCCCATTGCCTCTCCGCCTCCGGAGAATCTGGGTCTCTTGCAGGTGAAACTTTGGAGGCCCTTAGGGGTCAGGGTGACACAGGACCCATCTGTGCCTCTGTCTCACTGGCTCCCTTGGTCCCCCCTGGCAGTCACGCCCCAGCCGGGGGACCCACGTTCCACATGTTCCTTCCCAGGTGTACTTCAACGGCGCCAACGTCCGGCAGGTGGACGTGCCCACGCAGACGGGAGCCTTCGGCATCCTGGCGTCCCATGTCCCCACGCTGCAGGTTCTGCGGCCCGGGCTGGTCGTGGTCCACGCGGAGGACGGGACTGCCACCAAGTACTTTGGTGAGACCGCTGGACATGGGTGGGGGTGGGCAGGGACTGCGCCTGCAGTCTCAGTGGAAACCTCAGGATGTCGGGGAGTTGAGCCCCCTGAAGGGCCCCCAGTCAGTTAGGTTGGCCTGGATTTCAGAAGGTAAGTGGGGGGACGAGATGCAGGAAGAGAAGGAACACTGTGTCCCGGGAGGGCAGGACCCCTCTCTTGAACCAGCCCCATCTTCGGGGTGCATGGATACTTGTCATTCCAGTGCACCAGAGATGGGACTGGCAAGTTTGTACAACAGGGAGGGCACTTACGTCCTTGACACCCTAAAGGGTCCCTGAGCACAGAGCCAGGAAGAAGCCCTGAGCACTGCCGGGTGTGACCCAAAAACAAAAAAGAATGAATTCTGATGGACCCGAGGGGTAGGACAGTCAGAGGGGAGGCCCACCCGGGCTCGATTCCCAGCATCCCATAGGGTCCCCCGAGTACCGCCAGGAGTAATTCCTGAGTGCAGAGCCAGGAGTAACCCTTGTGCATTGCCGGGTATGACCCAAAAAGCCAAAAAAGGAAAAAGAAAAAAAAAATAGAAATCAAATGGGCTGGAAAGATAGGGCGGCAGGAAGGGTGCTTGCCTGGCAAGCATTAGACCCGGTTTCAAGCCCCAGAATTCTGGCCATAGAGTCCCCCAGGTTCTGCCAGGAGTGATCCCTGAACTCGGAGCCAGGAGTCAGCCTTTAGCACGGCCAGGGGTCCCACTCATCCCTGCACACCTTGAGCGCGGTCAGCCCTCCCGCTGGACACTGGAACCTGGGGGCCGCCCCCGTTGGCAGACATCTGCTGAACCTGGAGCTTCATGGGGGTGGGGGCGAGCGCACCAGCGTGGTCCGCCCGTCCGCGCCTGGCACGGGGTCCTCACTAGCCCACTCCTCCCACCCCTGCAGTGAGCAGCGGCACCGTGACCGTCAACGCTGACTCCTCTGTGCAGCTGCTGGCCGAAGAGGCTGTGACGCTGGACATGCTGGACCTGGGGGTGAGTGTGTTCCCCCCACCCGTGGGGAAACTGAGGCATGCAGCAGGCGGCTCTCCTCCCTCCACCCCACCGGGTCAAGGCAGGGGACTCCGAGGGCCCTGCTGTGCCTCAGCCTTCTCCCTTGTGCCTCCTCACCCCTGCAGGCCGCCAAGGCTAATCTGGAGAAGGCGCATGCCGAGCTGTCCGGGGCCGCGGACGAGGCCACCAGGGCCGAGGTTCAGATTCGCATCGAGGCCAACGAGGCGCTGGTGAAGGCGCTGGAGTAGGGGGGTGCGTGCGCCCCGCCCGCCCTGGGTCCCCCTGAACTGGGGGGCGGTGGGTGGAGCCAGTGAAGGGGAGGGTCCTTCCCGAGCCGGCCACCAGGGGGCAGCACTGGGCTCGCTCCCGCTGGGCCACGTGTCAAACCCGGAAGCTGGCCTGCACAGGGGTCCTGCTCAGAGGCTTATTCCCAAGGGCACCCCCCCACCCCCCACGGCCTCACACCCTAACTGGCTGTCCCTGTGCCTGTGCAGAACAAGCTGCAGAGAGATCGCCTGGCCCACCTTCGAGGGACACCCCCTGGCCCGCACCCCTCATTAAAGACCCAGAAGCCCCCCTTGTGTTTGCTTGCTCTGTCTCATTTGGGGGGGGGATGTTGGGGGATTCGCCCCCCACCAGGGTGGGGACGGCCAGAGGTGCTTGGGACCTTTGGCCCCAGCTGCAGCTGCAAGCTGGCGGCTGGGCGGGGATGCGGGGTGTGGCCCCTGGCCTGGGACTGCCCCCCGCCCCCCTCTAACCACCCTGGCTCCCACGGACGCCCCGCCCTGGGCTCCCTCCCCGCTCGTGGGTGGCCCTGGCTGGCTAGGCGCCCACTCCCGTGGTGTGGGCATTTCTTTGGCACCAGGCCCCGGGGCCAACCCAGGTGGGGTGGGGTTTGCTGAGCAGGGGTGGCCCAGAGCACCCCGCAACCCCACCCCCAGACAACCCCCCCCCCCAGACGTGGGCCCCTCCAGCTCCCCTGACTCCGCCCCACCCCTGGGCCGGCCTGGGGATTCCTACTGGGTGAGTGAACAGGCCTTGTGTGCCACCACAGCCCGGAGGTGACAGGGAGGCCACCCCCGGGCATGTGTGAGGTACGTAGTCAGCTGTGGGGGGGGGTGTTCCTCCTGTGTCACCGTCCCGTGCCACTGAGTGTCCCCAGGAGGTCCCAGTTGGGGTTGGGGTGACCCTCCAGGGATCTGGCAGACACCCTCAGCTATTCAGGAATAAGGACCCCGCCCCCCGGGGCTGGCAGCTGTAGTCACAAGTACACCCTGGCTGGGTGCCATCAGTCACCTCAAGAACTGCCGATCTGGCCCAATACCGGGGGGACCCCCTGTCTGCACTCCCAGGCCCTGAGAGGCCTCCCTGCTGTGGGGGGCCAGAGTGGGTCAGCCATTTGCATGTTGGGTCTTAGCGCCCCCGGGACCCCCCCCAGCCAAGGACCGACCTGGACCCAGGGGAGCCTGAGTTAGACAAGGATGTCGCAGCACCTTATTTTGTCCTGGGACTACACCTGGCAGGCTGTGGGCTCCAGGGGCTCACTGGGAGCTGGACCCGGGGCTTGAACCCCCATCAGGCACATCCCTCCCCGCTGGACTATCTCTGGCCCATAGTGCGGCATTAACGTGATCGCCAGAGCCCACCCTCCCCCCACCCACACACACCACCACCTTGCAGCCCGCCCGCCCTCCACCCTCCATGGTCTTGCTGCTTGAAAGTCTCCCTGGGGCGGCTGCAGGTGGGGCCCTGGTGCCTTGGGTGGGAGCCTGACCGGAGCCCAGTGTGGGAGGGGCGGCCCGCGGCGAGGGTGCGGGTGGAGGTGTATAAAGGGAGGCCCGCCAGATAAGGGGCTGGGGTGAGGACTTGCTCCCTGGGGTCCCAGTTCAGTCCAGCAGAAGTGGGTATAGTGGGGATCCAGGATGTGTCCTGGCCCACTTGTCATTGGCTTTGGGGCTTATTCTTAGATGGAAAAAGGGGCCCTAATCCTCGTCTCCCTCCCCCAGGCTGGGTGCCAGCTACCGAAGTACATAAATACGGGGTGTTGACTTTGGGGAGGGGGTCCCCACTTCCTAGCCTCCCCCCTGCAGGGAGGCTGCTGGCTTTTTCCTCCAAGCAGCCCCTCCCTCCTCCTCCTCCCAGGGAAACTGAGGTGCAGAGCCCTCCTGAGGTTTCCAGCCTGACCCTGGTGGATGGTTACCCGACACCCGCTGAGGTCACCGTTAAGGCCGCCCGGGCAGCTGGCTCGGGCACCCCCTCGCCGGGCAGGTGACTCGTCCCTGTTTTTCTGGACCACGGTCGCTGACTCAGGCCCCCATTCCCGCCCTCCCCCCCCACCCGGCTCCGACGGGGGCGTCCTCCGGCGGACCTGGAACAGACGGGGCAGCAGGAGAGGGGGGTGGGGCACGGGGCTGGGTTAGGCACCCCGAAATCCCAACGCTGCCAGGCGTGCATCCCAGCCGCCGCCGGCGGAGCTGTCGACCCTGACCCCGGTTTCTGCAGCGTTCAAGAGAGTGCCCGCCCCCCCAACCTTGGCGGGGCGCGGCCTTGGGGTGGCCCGGGCTCCGTGTCGCTTCTGGGTCCTGGCCGGCAGGCAGGGGCGGGGGCCGGCCTGCGTCAGCGCCCGCCCGGCCCCCGCCCCCCGCCCGCCCAAACTCCACCCCGAGGGAAGGCGGCGCGGATAAAGGCTCGGGGGCCGCCCGCTCGGCCCCAGACCAGCCCCGCCACCGCGCGCTTTGCCCCTACGTGGGTACACTCTGGACCCGTGCTGACCTCGTACTGGACGCGCCCGGTGAGTGGGGGGCGGGACCTCGCCGGCCCCGGGAGGGGGGTCCCCACTCTCGACTCTCCAGCTCTGCCCCACTTCCCTTTGTTCCTTCTTGTGACAGACTTGGGGTCGGGGTGTCTCGGGAACCGGGGAGCCCCCCGCCCCCTCCGAGGACATGGGATGGGAGGGGCCGGGCGCCGCCAGCACCGCCCTGGCTGGACCGCAGCCCCCGCCCCGCCCCCCGGGCACTCCCCCTCCTCGCCAGTGACCTTGAGCCCGTGGCCGTCCCGGCCTCAGTGTCGCGGGCTGTGCGTCCCCAGGCTCCGGGTCTGGAGGCCGAGTGTCCCCGCGCGGGGCTGTCCGGCAGAGCTGCCCCCTGCGCCGCCTAAGCGCCCGGGACCGCCGCGGCGCCCCCTCCCCGGGCCTCGGGGCCGCGTTCCCGGGCGGGGCCGGCAGAGGGCGCGCCGGCGCTGCTGACTCACCGCAGCCCCGAGCGGCGCGGGCGCAGCCGGGGACGCCGCGTCACGTCACGGCTCGGGCGGGCGCGACTCGGGAAACGGGCCGGGCCCGCGGGACGGGGGTGGGACGCGAGGTGGCACCGGCTCGGGAGGGGCCCTCCCGCCACCGGCCACGTCACCGCGTGCCGACCCCGCCTTCGGCGCCATTCCCCCTGCAGGGGTGCCCTCGGGCACGGGGAGTCGTGGCGGGGTGAGTGGGGGCCTTCTGGGGTCGCCCACTGAGGCCGGTGTCCCCTAGAGCCGCAAGACTCGGACCCTAGCCACGAGGCACGCGGTGTCCTCCCGCTCTCGGCGGCCACACCGGCTCGGGGGAGAAGCCCCGTGGCTCCCGACCCCTCTGGGCGCACGGACGGGCCCCTCGGGGCTTGGGGATCGTCCCAGACGAGGGTCCCGCGCCCCTGGGGTCCCGGGCCTTTGTTGCGGGCGGTCGCCTGGCCTTATGAATGGCCGCCGGCGCGGGCGGGGCGCGAGGGCGGACCCGAGGGGCGCCAGCCCCGCCCCCCGCGGGCTCCCTTTGGCTGCGGGGCTTCAGGGGCGGGGCGAAGGGCGGGACCGCGCTGCCACGTGGGGCGGTGCCGCGACGGTTCTCATTGGCCAGCGGCCCTGGCCGACGGTCTTAGGGGCGCGCGCCCATTGGTCGGCGCGGAGCCGGCGGAGTAAGTAGTGAATGGGAGGGGGCGGAAGCCCCGCCCCTTGGAACGTTGATACATTATAACTTTTTTTTCTTGTTACTTTCACCCCCAGATCCTCTGAGCGGCGGCGGCGGCGGCGGCGACGGCGGCGGCGGCGGCTGTGGCTGTTGCTAAGGGAGGGGACGCGCCCGGAAGCGCGGCCCGAGCGGCAGACGGCACCGGGCACGGACGGACGGACGAGCGGCGCCCCCTCCTTCGGGACCCTCCCCAGCGCCTCGCCGCGGTCGCCGCCCGCCGCCCTTTAAAGGCGCCGCCAGTGCCGCCCCCACTCCTGGAAGGGCCCCCCACCCCCCGACGAGCCGAAGCGACCCCGGAGCGCCACTCGGATTTTTGATTCCTGCTTTCACCTTCCACTCTTGGGACCTTCTCCAAGGAGGGACGCGCGCAGCCCGCACCCCACCACCGCCACCCCGCACCTAGCCGCCCCCAGGGTCGTCGCCCCCCACCTCCCCAGGACCGCGTTTCGGGAGCCCCCGCCTCTGCCCGGAGGCGCGGTGAGGATTGGCGGCGCCCCGCGGACCCCAGCACCCCAGCGCGGGCCGGGGATGGAGCCGCAGCCCGGCGGCGCCCGGAGCTGCCGGCGTGGGGCCCCCGGCGGCGCCTGCGAGTTGGGCCGGGCGGTCGAGGGGGCGCCCATCAACCTGGCCATCCACAGCACCACGGGCACCCGCTACGAGCTGTCGGTGCCCCCCGACGAGACGGTGGAGGGGCTGCGCAAGCGGCTGTCCCAGCGCCTCAAAGTGCCCAAGGAGCGCCTGGCCCTGCTCCACAAAGACACGTAGGTACCTCGCGCCGCCCCCGGCCCCCGGCGCCCGGCCGCCCCCTCGGGCCCGGGCCCCCGGGCGGGAACAAAGAGCGCGCCGCACGGGGAAGGAGTGGGGCGGCCAGACGGGGGGCGGGGGCGCGCCGCGCGCTCTCGGGCGCCCTCTGCTCGGCCTCGCCTGCCTCGGCCCCCCTCCCCCGCCCGGGGTCGGAGCACAAAGGCGGCGGCAGCCGGGGCGCCCCGCCGGCCGGGCCCCATCGGGTGCCCGCAGGAGGGGATGCGGGGTGCCCGGGGTGGCGCGGCGCGCCGGGGGTCCTGGCTGCGGGGGTGGGGGGCGCGGCCGCCGCCTCCGCCCGCGTCTCCGCCGGCTTCCGCATCTGCCTGGCGGCCCCCCGGCGTCTGGCTGTCTCCCCCCCACCCCACACACTCGCGTCTCTCTGCCCCCCTTTGTTCTCGCCACCGAGCGGTCCCCGCGGCCTCCCCCTCCCCCCTGGTATTTAAATCGCCTCCAGGCCGGGAAGCCCTCCCCCCGCGGGCCTCCGGGGACACGCAATGTCCATCCCCAGCGGAGGGGCCCCGGTGGGGGAGGGGCGGGAGGGGGAGGGTCTCTTTGTCTGAGCGGCGGCGGGGCCCGGGCCTGGCAGGGGAGGGAGGAGGAGGCAAAACCCCTAAAGTCTGAGCCCTGGGGCGGCCACCCAAAGCAGCCCGGGACCGGAGCCGCTGAACCCCGGGCAGGGGCCGGCCAGGCGGCTGGCGGCGGGGGCGGGGGGGCGAACACCCCCACACCCCGCCCGTGCTGCAGAAACGCTCCGAGGCGTCCGAACGCCAGTGCTCGCCGGAGTGCAGAGTTGAGGGGGGTGGCTGGGGGGGATGCGGCTCCCCCCCGGGTGCCAGCCTGGGAACCACCCCAGCGCCAGCTCCCGGGGTGGGGGCCAGGGGGAGGCGTGCAGCCCAGATCGGGAAGGGCCAGGAAGGGGTGGGGGTGGGAAGTCCTTGTGTGTCCCCCCGCGGGCGGCCTCCGCTTCCGCGTCCCTGCCTCGCCCGGGCGCCTCACCTCTTCCTTCCTCCCCCAGCCGGCTCAGTTCGGGGACGCTGCAGGAGTTCGGCGTGGGGGATGGGAGCAAGCTGACGCTGGTGCCCACCGTGGAGGCGGGCCTCATGGTAAATGGCTTTGGGCCAGCGCTCCCCAGGCCCCCCCCCCCCCATGCCCGCTGCACCCACACTCAGGGTCTCTCCGTGTCTTTACAGTCTCAGGCCTCCAGGCCCGAACAGTCGGTCATGCAGGCTTTGGAGAGCCTCACGGAGACCCAGGTAAGCGGCCCCTGGGCTCTGGGCTCTGCAGTCTCGGGGAGTCAGGGAGGGTGGGGGGGTGTTTGTGTTCCCAGGAGGCCCGTGGGGAGAGGAGGGGACACGCACCCCGCCTCCGTGCCAGCTTGGCTCAGCTACCAGCTTCCTCGTCCGCCTCCCCCCTCCCCCCTGCACACACCACCTGACCTTCACCGGCTGCTCTCCCACGGGGGGCCGGCAGGGTGGGGGGGGAACCCCGCTTTCTCCAGCCTGCCTGCCTGCCTGCCTGCTTGTCTGTCTGCCTACCGGGTGACCTTGGACCCCATTCCTGCGGGGGCATCCCCGGCAGCCGCCGCCTTCCCCCCTCGGCCCCCCCCCAGACATTGTGGGTTCCCCAAATCTACCTTTAAATTTTCTCGGAGGGGGGGGTTGTCGGAGGGAGGGGCCAGCCTGGGCGAAACTCCTTCCCTCTTCCCCGTGACCCCTTTGTGAGGGGTGGGGAGTGCTCCCTCTCTTTCTGGCCTTTGTTCTCTGCCCCCAAAGGGGGAGGGGGCGGGGGTGCGCAGCCCCAGGGCTGGCAGGGCCCAGACAGGATGTTAGGAAAATATTTAGTAACCCGCCGCGAGGGAGGGAGGGAGGAAAGGAGGCCACGCGGGGCGGCCCACACCCGGTTCCCCGAATTTCTTGCCGTTTTATTTTTCTGACCCCTTTTTACACCCTCTCCCACCTCTCTCTGTGGGTCTGTCCCCAGGAGGGTGCCTTAGGCCTGAGAAGTCTGTCTCGGTGGGGAGGGGGGGGCGCCTGCCCCACCATCCAGGCCTCCCCAGCTGAGCCCCGAAACCTGTTAAGCGGCTTTGCTCCCTCCTACAGCCCTGGCCCTCGCCCCCTCCCCGACAAGTAGCGTCCTGCCCTAGCTGAGGGAGGGGGGGTGGCTCCGAGCACTGGGTGGTCTCCCATCAGGCTGGGGGGGGCGTGCCCTGGGGGGTGTCGGCACGTGACTTCCTGGGGCCCATGTGAACCCGGCTCTCGGGCTCTCTTGGAAGTGGCGGGGGTGCTGCGGTTGTCAGGGGGCCCCCCCAGGGGCGGTTTTCGTTCACATCCGCCCCGGGGTGCCTGCGTCAGGAGGAGGGAGGTGGGGGGGCCCCGGGGGGTGACTGGGCTCCCGGGACTGCTTCCCCGCCTGGCACCCAGTCATGCCCGCCCGGTCCTCTCCCCAGGCAGGAAGTTGGCAGGGTGGGGGTGGGGGGGGGCACCGCAGCTGCTCTGGGAAGCCGTTGCCGGCGCTTTTCTTTAGGGGCGTTGGCGAAAGGCTCGTGGGGCGGGCAGACAGGGCTGGGGGAGGGGGCTCCGCCCTGCCCACCTCCTTTGCGTGCACCCCCATCTTCCTTCCCCTCGGCCCCCCAAAACAGAAAAGGTTCTACCAGCCACTCCCAGCGGAGAGCCGGGAGGAGGTCTGAGTCATCTGGGCCTGTGTCACTTCTCAGAAACCTCCGCCCCCCATCCCGGCCTCTGGGGAGTGTGCAGGGCTGGCCAGGCCCCAGAGGAGAGGCCCCGGGGCAGATGGGGGTCAGAGGCACCCCCACACATGCCTCCCCTCAGGCTAGGACTCGGCTCAGGCCGAGGGGAGAGTGGCCAACTCTGAGGGCTGTTGAGGCCACTGGGGGGGCGGTGGAGGATTGCAGGCCCTGGGGACCCGTGCTGGTCCCCCCCCCCCAACTGCCTCTTCCCCGCCCAGGACAGATAAATATTTATCTTGAGAAAGCAAAGGTTAGGATGAAGAATTTCTGCAGGAATTCCAGGCCCTGGCCAGGCCCTGGGTGGCTTCCCAGGAGGGACCCCTTTCTCGGACCCCTTCTTTGTAGTCACAGATGACTGGAGGAGAGGGAGGGGGCGCGCCCCCAGAGGGCTGGGGGGAAAGGTGTCAGGTGAAGGTCCAGTGTGACCAGACCCCGCCCCCTGTGGCCTCAGTTTCCCTACTCCCCATACACCACACTGGCCAGGGAGAACGAGGGTCCATCCCTCACCCCCCCACTCCCATCTGATCCACCTCTGTCCCCCCCACAGCCCCCAGCGATGCCCGGGCCGGCCCGGGCTGGCGGAGGCAGCTTCCGGAAATACCGATTCCTTTTATTTAAGCATCCGTGGCGCCAACAGGGAGCCCAGAGCCCAGAGAGGGGCGGCGAGAGGCCCCAGGTCACACAGCGTGGGGGGGCCGGGCCGGGCCGGGCTGGGGGCACCAGGGGGGCCAGGACCCCCCGGGGGCTGACCCGGCTCCTCTCCACAGGTCAGTGACTTCCTGTCTGGCCGCTCGCCGCTGACCCTGGCCCTGCGCGTAGGGGACCATATGATGTTCGTCCAGCTGCAGCTGGCGGCCCAGCACGCCCCGATACAGCACCGCCACGTCCTGGCGGCAGCCGCCGCCGCCGCTGCCGCCCGCGGGGACCCCAGCGTGACGGCCACCCCCGTGTCCTCCCCCTGCCGGCCCATGTCCAGCGCTGCCCGTGTCCCCCCGGTGCCCACCAGCCCCGCCTCTGCGTCCCCCTCGCCTGTCACAGCTGGTACCTTTCGATCCCACTCGGCCCCAGCCACCTGCACCGAGGTGAGTCTGGGGGAGCGTGCTGGGGTGGGAGGGAGGGGTCGTCCCGGGGCACTGCCCAGCTCATAGCCGCCCCCCTCCCCCCCAAACCAGCAGATGGAATGTGCGGCCCCTGCCAGCCCCGGTGCCAGCCCCGCCGCCAGCCCCGGGAGCAGCACCGGCTCCCGCTCCCGCAAACCCGGCGCGGTGATCGAGAGCTTCGTCAACCACGCCCCGGGGGTCTTCTCAGGAACATTCTCCGGTAAGCGGAGGGGCCCCCCCCCTCCCGGCTAGCACCCGACGTTCCCTGTTCTGGGAACCTCACAGTGGTGGGGACAGGGTGGTGGTCTCCGGGGGACCTCCGTGGTAGGGGTGACCCTGCATTCATGATGCCCCCTGCACCCGCAGGCACACTGCATCCCAACTGCCAGGACAGCAGCGGGCGGCCCCGGCGGGACATCGGTACCATCCTGCAGATTCTCAATGACCTGCTGAGCGCCACGCGGCACTACCAGGGCATGCCCCCCGTCCCTGACCCAGCTGCGCTGCCACGCGCAATGCGCGCCCGCCTCGCCCGCCCCGGACCTCACCCCCAAAACTACCTCCTGCGAGAAGCTGGCAACCGCCGCTGCAGCCCCAGCCTCACTGAGCCAAGTCCGCATGTGCAAGCCCCCCGGTGAGTGGGGGGGGGGGGGTGTGGAAATGTGCTTGTGCGCATGCGCACACGGGACTGACTCCTGGCAGGGACTGACCCCTGGGGAGAGGGGGGCGGAGCCCCCGGGGAGGCTCCAGGTGGGGGGGCTGCCACCCAAGAAAAGGAAGGAAGGAAAGGGGGGAGGGGCGGAGGCAGGGACCGGCGGGGAGGGCCGTGGACCCAGTTGACCCAAGTGTGATCCCCCAGCCGCCGGGGGGACCCCCCAGCCTCCAGGTGGGGGGGCTGCCAGCTGCCATACGCCCTGCCCTGCAAGTGCCAGGAAAGAAGGGAGCATGTGTGTCGGGGGCACAAAGTGTCCTTGTGCCTCCCTAGGGGGGGCGTCCGTCCTCACTTCCTCCCGCCGCCGCCACCTCCTGCAGATGGTGCTGGGAATTCACTGAAAACCCCCTCAGTCAGGCCCAAGCTGGGGCGAGAAGGGGGGGCGGCTCTCCCCTCCTCGCTCAGTAGCCTAGTTACCCCCGTGAATCCGGAGGCATTACAGACCCGCGGAGAGGGGGGCTACCCCTCCCCCCCTCCAACCTGACCCAGTTCACAGGGGGGGAAAGCAAGGCAGGAATATGCAGCTCAGGCTCCGTCGGTGCCCTGGGAGTCACCCCAAAAACGCATCACCGGGTGTGACCCAAATCCTCTTCCCCATCCACCCAAGAAAAGGAAGGAAGGAAAGGGGGGAGGGGCGGAGGCAGGGACCGGCGGGGAGGGCCGTGGACCCAGTTGACCCAAGTGTGATCCCCCAGCCGCCGAGGGTCTCCTGAGCCCCGCTGTGAGCGATTCCCTGAGTCCAGGAGTAACCCCAAAGCCAAAAAAAGCGAGCACCCGACAGTGGCCCGGGGCGGGGGGGGGGGGGCAGCTCCAAGCCGCCGCACCACCCAGACACCGACTTGCAGGCGCGACCGTTCCATCCCACCCGGGGGGTCCTGTCCCCCCACGCCCGGAGAGGCGCAGATCGGGGGTCGCCCGCCGGGGGTGGGGAGTTCCCGGGGCTCACAGCCACCGCCTCCCTTGCAGGGGACCGGCTACGGCAGACGGAAAACCGAGCCACGCGCTGCAAAGTGGAGCGGCTGCAGCTGCTGCTTCAGCAGAAGCGCCTGCGCAGGAAGGCGCGCCGGGACGCCCGCGGCCCCTACCACTGGCCCCCCAGCCGCAAAACGGGGCGCAGCGACAGCAGCGGCGGCGGGGCCGGCGCCAGCCCCAGCGAGGCGGCCGGCCTGGGCCTCGACTTTGAGGACTCCGTGTGGAAGCCAGAAGTCAACCCCGACATCAAGTCCGGATTCGTGGTGGCCTAGGGATGCGCCCAGGCCCCCCCGCCGCCCGGCCCGGTCCTCGGGGTGTGGGTTGAGTCTTTTTTTGTTTTTTGTTTTTTGTTTTTTTTTAATTTCAATTCTCACCATGATTTTCTGGACTCTCTGGATGGACTTGGGTTCCTGCCTCCTCCAGCCTCAGCTCAGTTCTGTCCGTTTCTTCCCGCCCCCCTCCACGCGCCCGGTGCCCGGTTTCCGTCCCCCCCACCCCGTGCCTCGCCGTCTGTCCGTCCCCTCGTGCCCTCCCGTCGCCGCCGCGGTTCCCCCCAAGTTCCCCAGCTCCCGAGATGTAGCAAGACTTTCCCAGATGGAAGAGAGCTGGAGACGCAGGCACACCCCCACTTCCCCTCTGCCCCGCCCCCACTTCCCACCCTCTTCCCGTCTAAGTCAGAAAAAAAAAAATGAAAATCCTCATTATGCACTTTACAGATGAGGGGGACCGCGGAGAGAGGGCGCCCCCCACTCCCGCGGGGCCCCCGCTGGCTGGCCTCTCTCCACATCTGTCCTGATGCCCCCCACCCACCCCCTTTTTTTGTTCTTCTCTCCACCCCACCTCCCCGTGTGGGTATTTTTGGTCTTTTTTTTTCCCCCCCCTGCTGGAATAACCAAGGCGATCCAGGGGAGAGGCCATCAGGACCCACCTCGGGGGTTTGGCTGGGAGTTGAGGAGAGGGGACAGTCCACCACCAGGCTTGGGTCACCAGCACTGTGTGATCTCCGCCACCCCCCCACCCACCCTCTTTCTTTTCCTTTTTCTTTTTTTTTTTTCCTGAGCTTGGGGTATTTATAGACTATTCATTTCTGACTGAGCCAATAGTTGCTTGGGAATCCTTGAAAAATCGGGAGAGGCATGGCTGTGGGGGGAGCGGACAAGGACAGGCGAGGACCCCCCCCACCCCCCCCCCCACACACACACCTCAGCTGTTCATTCCATCCCAGCCAGAGTGATCTGGGAATGGACTCATGTTGGGGAGGGGGGCTCCTCTGGCCGCCGGTTTGGGGAGGGGAGTGCTGAGCTGTGAATCCCCTGGCACAGGGTAAGTTGTGTAGCATTAACCCCCCCCCCCCCGCGGGGGGGGGATCGCTGCTGGTCTAATCTGGACCCTCCCACCCTAGCCCATGCCCCCCACCCCAGTCCCATGGGGGCTGGAACTAGACACCCCCCACAAGGGGCCTTTCCATAGGGTTAGTGTTTTTCAATTCACCTTTTTTTTTTTTTTTTACTGATACGGATATTTTGGGGTCCTTCCCTCCCCACCTGTCAGTCTTGTCCCGACTTCCTCACCAGTCTTTGTCCTGCGATTCGATCACCTGCCTGCCCCCCCACCCTGACTTCCTCCTTTTATGGCCCCCCCCCCCGTAGGTGCACCCCTCCCCCCCCATTATGTGTTAATGGTTTCAGATGTGAACATCATGTGTTTACTGTAGCGCTGTACATTTTTTTGTGGGGGGGGTGGGCAGGGAGGGGAGGTCAGAGGGTTAGGCAACAAGGAATTTTTTTGGTTTTATTTTTGTTTTCCAAAAAAATAGAAAAAAAAACAAACAAAAAGGAGAGAAAAGTCAGTTTGTTTTTGAAGAACTGTCTTAAATACCTATTTAAATGTGTGTTCTGGTTTTTGTTTATTTTTGTTTTGTTTTGTTTTTCAAGGGGGAAAAAATGGTTTTTTAAATAGCCTCTGTGCACACACAGGTCTGAGGCTGGAGGGTCAAGGCAGGATACCAGCCTGCCCCCTCCCCATCACCAAGCCACCCTCCTCCATCCTTAAAGGGATTAAGACCCCAGGGGGTGGGTTGTGGCCTTTTCCACACCTGACTTAGTTTCCCATAAGAAAAAGCATCAATTTGGAAAAGGAAACCAAAAAAAAGCACCACACCTTGATTTCAAGTAATAAATAGAAACTGAAACAGGAGTGAAATGTGCCTCCCGGGAGGGGGGGAGCAAGGGGGTCTCCCAAAGTCCGAGGTTGTAAAGGTTTTGCTAAGGTTAGAGGAGGGGGCTGAAGCCTAGTTCAAGAGGGTTGGCCCATCCCAGTGTCACCAGGAGTGAACCTTGAGCACCACTGGGTGTGGCCCCCAAACCAAAAAAAAAAAAAAAGATATCCGGGAAACCAACTTCCTCCAGACTAGGGTACCTAGTTGCTAGTACCTAGTACACCAGGACCTACGTTGCTGCTGGGAACTTCTCATGGTCTCACCAGCTTGGGGTGCGGTGGACCAGAAGCTCCCCTGTGGGTGAAGAGACGAGACACTTCCTGATACCCAGGCCCAAGCAGGAAGTACTCAAGACTGGGTGTACCCTCCCTGCCTCATGTCCTGGGTGGGACCTGTGCCCTCAATTCCGGGTCCCCTGGACGGGGCTGGGAGCCTGCCCAGTGCCCAATGGGGAAGTCACCCTAGTTCTATACTACACCTGCCTCTACCCTGAGGGGCCCCCTCCCCCAGCCTGCCGGATGTCTGCACCAGTGCATTCCAAGGCTCTCTGGCCTCCCTCGATAAGGGTCAGCCTCTGCAGCCCTTTGTTGTTGTTGGTTTGGGGGCCACACCCAACAGTGCTCAGGGGCTACTCCCAGCTCTGTGCTCCGGGTACCCTGATGTGCAGGTGATGCAAACCTGGGCCTCCAGTATGCCGAGTGCTACCCTCAGCTTTTCCCTCATCCTGATGTCTGGGCACAGGCTTCCTCTTCTGTCCCCCTCACCCACCCCTCCCTTTAAGCCTGGATTGGCCAGGGCCAGGGGCCAGCCCTCCACTCCCACCTTCATGTCCTTTGGGGCTGGGCAGGAGGATAATCCGACATCTGTCACTACACTTATTTCCTGACTTAAATCAGTCCCCACGCCTGGGATTTAGGGCTGATCCTCCCACTACATGGATGAAAAAATTGAGGCCCCCAGAAACATCTCTGCAACCCCCCCCACAGGAGGACTAGAAGCAGTTTATTACTGATCCCCACTACCAGGTGGCCCAAGTCACCCCCTGACCCCCAGAGCCAGTTCCTCAAGGAATGCCAGAGGGGCAGGGAACTCCGGAGTGTCTGTCCCATAGTCATCTTGGTCCAGTCACCCCCAAATCATCGTTCACCCACGGCAGGAATGTAGGCGGCCCGGGACAGACTGATCCCTCCAGACCTCACTGTCCACAGGACAGAGATGCCCGCGGGGCGGGACGTGTGGGTCGAACCCCGGCCCGGCAGCGCTGCTGCGTGACCCGGGCGAGTGCCGCGGGGCTGGGTGGGGGACGCGGAAGGATGGAGTCACTGGAGTCACGGAGGTACCTGCTGAATCACCCGGGCCTGGTGCAGGATGCAGGCAGGGGGTGGGGGTGGGGGGCGCGGCGGTGGCCCTGCGGCACCAGAGCTCATGCCTGGGGCGCTGCCCAGCAAGCAAACGGGGCGGGGGGGGGTGCGCGGAGCAGGGGGTGCCCAAGGGTCAGGGACTGCCCAGAAGGACACCACCCAGTAGAATGGGGAGGCCGCTGGCCTTGACCCCCAGTCCCTGTTTCCAGGACCTGTCGGGTCTGCGCCGTGACCGTCCAGGACACGTAGGAGGAAGAAGCTCCGAGAGGTAAACTGAGGCTCGAAAGCTCGTTGGGGTTCCGCGAGCATCGCAGGGGGCGGGGTCTGTCCCGCACCGCCCCCCTCCCCCCATTGAGAAAAAGTTGAATGGGAGGGGGCGGCCTCCGGAAACCCGCAGGGATGGAAACGCGGTTTCCGGGGCAACGCGCCGCAAATCGGGCCTGACGTCACCGCGGGGAGGGCGCCCCGCCCGCCCCCGTCCGCGCGTCGGGAGGACCGGCCCCGCCCGCCGCGGGGAAGTCTCATTGGTCACGATCCCCGTCGCTCTTCAGCACGCACCAATAGCAACACGGCGTTGCCTCGCGGGAGGCGGGCCGGCAGCGGTGGCCCGACGAGGTGCGCAAGCGCGGCGCGGAGGCGGGCAGCCCCCTCCTTCTGGCCGCACGTCCGCAAACTTGGGGGCGGGAGACGCGCCAAGGGTCTGACGGCGGCGGCTGCTCCCGGACGGAAGAGGGGGCGTACTCGGGGGCGCTGCACGTGGACCCCCCCAAGTCGTGGTGTTCTCACGTGCACCCCTCTCTTGCCACGTCCAGGCGCTGCCTGCAACCCCCCTCCCCGAGCTAGGGAGGGGGTGCAGGGGGCCGAGCGGCAGGAAGGCCGTTGGCTTGAGACTTTGCCAAAAGAATAGTTTGCTAAGTGGGGGCAACGGTACAGGGCGGAGGGGGGCGAGAGGCAGGTGCAACACTTGTAAGAGTTTTTGGGGGGCGGGGGGCTAGGCTTCAAGCTGCAAGCACCCCAAGGGTTTGGGGGGTCTGGAATTCTGTGGCTTAGGGGCGCAGGTTGGGGGGAAAGGCCCGGAGGGTGGGGGAGGGGAGAGGCACAAGGCAGGCACTGCCAAGTAGTTGGTCTGATTCACAGCCAGGGGGTTGGGAAGGGGGGGACGGCTGCAGGGGTGGGGGGGGCTGTGGGTTGAACAAAACCTTAAGAGGTTCCTTTGAGCCGCACCTGGCGGCTGCGTGCCCCGCGTCGGGACACGGGCGCCCCACCCTCCTGCGGCTTGGGGGCTGCCACCCAGAGTGCGCTCCCAGAGGGCAGAGGTCTGCGGGGGGGGGGGGGAGGGGGGAGGGAGGGGTGCCTCTGCTCAGGGCGCCCCAAACCTGGCTTCCTGGAGATTGGAGGTCTGAGCCCAGGTGTGGCCTCAGGTGGGCAGAGCGCCGGGCAGATGAGGCGGCTGTGGGCGGTGGCAGGTCACTGGGGTTACAGCCTTGCAGTGTCTCTGTGTGTGTGTCGGGGCGGGGGGGGGGTGCGGGGGTTTGGCCAAATGGGTAATTGGGGCTGGCTCCAGAGGCCCTGCGTGGTCAGGGGGTGGCGTTCAGAGGACAGCCGGGAGGCGCCATCTGGGGACCTGGGAGTGGAGCCGCTGCTGCACCCCCGCCGCGCGCAGGGCTGCTGCCCAGGGCGCCCCCGCCCCCACCCGGCCTCCTCCCCGCCCGGCCAATGGGAGATGGGAGTCACCCAGCCTTGGCCCCGGGCCCGACCCTGGAGTCTGGACTCCAGCCCCACCCACGCGGCCCAGCCCCGGGAGGGCAAGAGGACGGGAGGCCCCAGGTGGCCCCCGGGACAGGTGAGCAGCCCCCACACCCAGGGCGAGGGCGGGGAGGGTCGTCGTCTGCTGCCCGCAGCTCGGCGCCTCCTTCCGCCCCGGCGCCGCGCCTCCGCCCTCAGTCTAGCTCCGGGTTCTGCTTCTGGGTCCGGGCCTGGGCCCCAGCGCTCCCCGCCTCGGTCTGGCTGCTTCTCCCTATTTTCGGCCTTCGCGGTCCCACGGGGCTGCGCCTGCCTCCCCGGCGGGGTCCCCCCTCCACTTCCGCCCCTTCTTGGGGGGGCCCCCTCCCCCTTCCCGCACACATTCCTGCCTCCACCCCCGCCTCACAGTCCCTCCCTGGGACCAGCTGCTGCGGAGCTGGGTGCCCCGGCGGGAGGCAGTGGGCTCGAGCCGAGGTCAGAGGTCGGCCTGCAGGCGGGGGGACCGGGAGGGCACCCCCTAACCTCTCTGGAATGTGGGCGGGGCGGTCCCAGCCCGGGGGAGGCGGGCGCCCCGGGGGCCTGTACAGCTGGCTACAACCGCCTCGTCCACGCCCCAGACCCTGCCCACACACCCGCGGGGGAATCCACAGCGCCCTGGCGCCCCCAGGGGGGCCCCTTGGCCGCCGGACCCTCCAGCCGGCTCCTCCCAGCACCCTGAGCGCGCAGCGACCCCAGTCTGTGACACCCAGCCCACGCTTCGGCCCTCCCGGCGCCTCAGCCCACGGTGGAACCTTCCCGGGGAAGGGCACCCCGTTCTCACCCAGCAGACACCTCCCCGTGAGAAAGCCGCGGTGGCGGGGGTGGGGCGACCCATAGGACCGCCGGGAGGACGCTGGCCTTGCAAGCGCCGACCCGGGTTCAATCCTGGGCACCCCTCCCCCCGTAGGATCCCCTGAGCTCTACCGGAGTGACCCCTGAGCGCCCACTGCGGGGTGTGGACCCCGTCCCCCCCCCCAAAAAAAAAGAAACCTAAGAAAGCCACGAGATTGCAAGTCACACCCTCGACCCAAACGCGCCAACGCTGCGGTGCCCACCGCGGGCAGCGGCTCCAGCCAACACTGGGGTAGACGGAGATTTGCATGTGCTCGGCCGCCCCGTGGCTGGGGCCGGGGGTGGGGTAGGGGGGGTCAGCGGGACACAATTCTCCTAGGGCCTCGCCACAGCCAGGAAAATAAAAGAGGAACAAAGAACCGGGGCTCCCGGCTGCCTCCTCTGTGACCTCAGGGGGGGCGAGGCCCCGCCCACCGCTCGGAGGTGGCGGCCCGGACCCGCTCGGGCGCGCCGCCTACCTGCACAGCTGGGCTCCCGGGAGGCCGTCTGGGCTGGACGCTTGTGGGCATGTGTGGCCAACTGTTGGGGTGCGGAGGGGGGCCGGGCGACGTCCGGGGGCGTGCACCTGGTCCGGGTCACTGCAGTAGGGGGGCTACTGCCTGCACCAGGCATGGCCCCCCATCTGTGCTGAATAGCATGACCCCCAACCCCAATGTGCTCCGTCCTTGTGCCCCCCTC